AAAAAAAAAAAAGTTAAAAGTTTATGAGTTTATAAAAGTAAAAAAGTTACAGTAAACTAAAGTTAATTTTTTTCTTTTTTTGAGACAGAGTCTTACTTTGTCACCCTGGGTATAGTGTTGTGGCATCATAGCTCACAGTGACCTCAAGTGATCCTCCTACCTCAGCCTCCTAAGTAGCTGTTACTACAGGCACCCGCCACTATGCCCAGCTAGTTTTTCTATTTTTTAAGAGACAAAGTCTCACTTTATTGCCCTCAGTAGAGTGCCATGGTGTCATAGCTCACAGCAACCTCCAACTCCTGTGCCTAGGTGATTCTCTTGCCTTAGCCTCCTGAGTAGCTAGGACTATAGCCGCCCGCCACAATGCCCCAGCTATTTTTTTGTTGTTGTTGCTGCAGTTTGGCTAGGGTTCGGTTCAAATCAGCCACCCTGGGTATATGGAGCCAACGCCCTGCTCACTGAGCCACAGGTGCCGCCCTAGTTATTCTATTTTTAGTGGAGACAGAGTCTCGCTCTTGCTCAGGCTGGTCTTAAACTCCTGAGCTCAAGCAATCCACCTGCCTTGGCCTCCCAGATTGCTAGGATTATAGATATGAGGTACCATACCCAGCCAAAGCTAAATTATTAAGAAAATTTACAAAATTTATAGTGTAGCCTAAGTGCAGTGTTTATAAGTCTTCAGTCATGTACTGTAATGCTCCTCAGCTTTCATTCACCCACCACTCACTCTCTGACTCACCCAGAGACACTTCCAGCCCTGTAAGGCTCATTCATGGTATTTTTATCTTCTATGCTATGTTTTTACTGTACCCTTTCTTTGCTCACATACACAAATACGATTGTGTTACAACTTCCTACAGTATCCAGCACAGCCACATCCAGTGTGGGTGGGCTGTGTAGGACTATCCCACACGGCCTATGTGTACAACAGGCTGTACTACTCAGGTTTACAGAAGTATATTCTATGATGTTCATACAACGAAACAGCCTAACAACACACTTCTAAGAATGTATTGCTATCACTAAGTAACACATTATATAGGCATTATCTGTGAAGCTTATGCAAACACTAATCAGAATTTAAATACACAGGCACACACAAAGTACATACATACTTTCATTAATTCATATATTATTGGCCTGGATGATTCAAAAGCTATCCTACATGAATGCTTCCCTATCAAGAACATAAGAATTTTCCTGTGTCAAAACAAACTACAGAATAGACTGGGCATTAAACATGTTACATAAAAAATTAAAGTATATCATGTATGGCCAAGTACATTTTTTGAGAGATATTTAAACTTGAAATTTTGAAAATGCTTTAATTCTCATTATGTCCCATAGTAAGCAAGGTCTGCATAGGTGTTATACAAACTATTATCACATTAGCACAGAGCACATTAGTTTGCACACTTATTGCCTTAGTAGTATCAATTTCATAGGTCTACCTTTTGTTGCGAGAATTTCTGCAAGCATGACACGTAAGCTGAGAGACTGGACATCCTTGGAGGGGAGGAGACAAGACACCAGAACCCGAGAACACATTTGTAGAAATCTTACTTCATCATCTGAGTTCCTCAAGCATGCATGCAACACAAAAGGCCTCGGCTGTTCTTCATGTCTAAAACAATAAACGGGAGGGAGAAGGAAGGAAAAAAAGTTCTAGAAACACTTCAGTTATATACCGTTAGGTAAAAAAAAAACTTCAAATGGACGATGCATTGGTTCTAACTTTGCCTCAATAATTGCAACAATCAAATCTTCTCTATCATAGAAAACTTACAATGAAATAAACATAAATGCACGACCTTTTGGGGTTTCAAACCAAACCAAATAACTGAAGTTGCATCAAAAGTTATAGGTAACTCCCAATTCAAGCAACAATCCAAAAAAGTATAAGTATTTCTTTAACTAGATTTTTTGTTTTTGAGACAGGGTCTCACTATGTCCCCCTCAGTAGAATGCCGTGACATCATAGCTCCCAGCAACCTCAAACGCCTGGGCTCAAGCTATTCTCTTGCCCAACCTCCCAAGCAGCTGGGACTACAGGTGCTCACCGCAACACCCAGCTATTTTTGTTGTTGTTGTTGTTGTTGCAGTTGTCATTGCTGTTTAGCTGGCCCAGGCCAGGTTTGAACCTACCAGCCTCGGCCAGCACCATAACCACTGTGCTACAGGCACCACCTAACTAGGTTTTTAAGTTTTCTAGATGGCTTCTTAAGTATAATCTACAACTTCATTTATCAAAAAACAAAAAAATACAGAAAAGAAAGAGAAAAGCCAATAAAAACATAAGCCAAGGTCAGCAGGAAGCCTACTAGACTGGGAGATCACAGGATTAAAAAGTCAATGGGGGCTTGGCGCCTATAGCTCAGCTGGCTAAGGCGCCAGCCACGTACACCTAAGGTGGCGGGTTCGAATCCCCAGCCCAGACCCGCCAAACAACAATGACGGCTGCAACCAAAAAAATAGCCAGGCGTTGTGGCAGGCGCCTGTGGTCCCAGCTACTTGGGAGGCGGAGGCAGGAGACTCGCTTGAGCCCAGGAGTTGGAGGTTGCTGTGAGCTGTAATGCCACGGCACTCTACCCAGGGGGACAGCTTGAGGCCCTGTCTCAAAAAAAAAAAAAAAAAAAGTCAATGGGTACTTCTAATGAGGATAGAGTCCATAACTTGATGTTATATAATTCGATGACAAATTGCCTCCTGTGAGACTGTGAAGTATCTCCCAACCACTCTTGCCAAGGATGGTTGTGGACTTCAATGTCAGTACTGACATTATTCCAAGACCATTCATGTGGAGGATCTGAGTAAACAGGAGTAAAAAGTAGAACTTTCTATACTTTCCTTTTTCTTAATATCTAGATAGCAATTCACAGAAGACAGATTCCAATTTTTCTTTCAGGTAAGGAGGGAGAGTGTAAGAGATTCTGATAGTAAGATAGTGGATAATACTAAGGGGAAACACACTCAATAGAGAAGGATAAGCACAGTAAGTACTACATAGAGAATTAAACAAATAAGGGCATACTGTTGCCTTTATGACCACTGTCTCTTAGGAGGTATAAGCAATTTCTTCTTACACTAGAAACTTGAAAACTAATTTCTTTCTAGTAGGTACACTAAAAAAGAAAGGCTTCTTCTTTGTCTTCTACATGCTGGAGGAATTCTACCCTAATGTGTAAAGCCAACAACACGAAGAGAAACTTTAAGAGTAAGCCTTTACATATATACTGACATACACTGACTTTTAAAGAAATGGTATCTTCAATTATTTTAAACCCTAGCTATGTTGAGCCAGAGTTGATATTTCATTGTTGTAAGATTAAGATGTCAAGTACTTTTAAAGGTAATTCTGGTAATTCTTTTCTTTAAAATATACATTTGGGCCAGGTCCAGTGGATCACTCCTATAATTTTAGCATTCTGAGAGGCTGAGGCAGGCAGGTCCCTTGAGTTCAAGGGTTTGAGACCAGCCTGAGCAAGAGTGAGATCCTGTTTCTACTAAAAATAGAAAAACTAGCCAAGCATAGTGGCAGGTCCCTGTAGTCCCAGCTACTCAGGAGGCTGAGGCAAGAGGATCACTTGAACCCAAGAGTTTGAGGTTGCTGTGAGCTACAATGATGCGATGGCACTCTATCCAGGGTGACAGAGTGAGATTCTATCTCGAAAAAATAAAATATATGAATGTATGTGTACATACGTGTGTATGTATATATTATATAAAATTTGGTTAAAACTTATAGGAGGAGGTTGCCCACCCCACCCCCCAGATCCACTTTTACAAGAGAAGCTTCTTTAAATAGTATCAGCATCCCTCTCAAAGTATACTGTTCCTTATCCATACGAATGGAAGTCTGGTTCCAAGACTGCCACAAGGTCTCCTCCCTCCTAGAGCTGAGTTAGGGGAAAAACCTTCTGAGTGAGTCAAGGACCAGAGGTGGTCAAACAAGCTTGATCTCTCAAAAAAGAAAAGGTGGATGCTTCCCTGGACTCTTTATGCAAACTCCAAACAGGACATTTCTATGATACCCTCTGGTACTTGGGCATCAAGCATGCTTTAAAGGAAAGAAAGGCTCATGAGGTACACGGTTACTTCTGGGTCAGGAGATGTCTAGCTAGCCTTCTGGTGGGCCAGCACATTAGTCTTTGCAGTATTCTCCTTTCATTCAGTGTGGATCTACCATGTGCTTATTATAATTCCCAGTACTTACCTCTTAGTTCTCCTTCCTTGAGTGAGCAAAAGGATGTTAACCTTTCTGTAAGTTCCGTGTGTACAATATTACTTAATCCTCCCACCTATACCAAAAAGTAGGTATCCTCACTGGCATTTTCTAGATGAGAACATTAAGATCTTTATAGTAAGGTGAATAAAGTCACAGAGGTAATAAATGCTAGAAATAACTCTCAAGTCCAGACTCTGCACCATAATCAGAGACTGCAAAGATGAAAGGGAAGAAAATTTCAGATATAAAGAAGGAAAATGAGTGAATAAAACATTGTTTTCCCCCTCAAACTGCATGCCAGTACTTGACCAGCAAATAAAATGCAGAAATTAAAAGAAGAAAACTATAAAATTAAAGATGCTATTGAATTAATACTATAAAAGCAATCATTTCTAGATTTTCCTGAAACTTGAGGGAACAAAACATGACAACACAGAAGAAGAGGAAGCAAAGGCCAGAGTTAAATGTGGTCTGGCCTGGCTGCCAGCAGCAACACAATGACAGCCCAGAAACATGAAGGCTGGGTGGAAAGCAGCTTCCTCACAGCTGCCTGACAGTCGACCAGAAGATGTGTTGCTTTATTAATGCAATTTATTATTCTTTTGTCAGACAGCACCAGTTCAATTCAGGCTACCAAAGACATTCTCTAGGCAACAGAGATCTGCACACCAATGGCGATTCCTGGGACAAGAGCACTAACTACCTGGGGCATGCAGATACAGACACAGTCATCAAACCTGAACACACTGTCTGCCACGCTCTCCAAAATACCAGTGACCCACTGACACATCTTCAAACATCCATACTCCCAGAAAACAGTGGTAGATGTTTTTTGTTATTCTTCTTGTGTTTTTTAATCTCCAATTAGAACTTCTAAGAACAGCTTAGATCAGTGGTTCTCAACCTTCCTAATGCCACCACTCTTTAATACAGTTCCTTATGTTGTGGTGACCCCAACCATAAAATTATTTTTGTTGCTACTTCGTAATTTGGCTACTATTATGAATTGTACTAATATCTGATATGCAGGATGGTCTTAGGCAACCCCTGTGAAAGGGTCATGACCCACAGGTTGAGAACCACTGGCTTATACAAGGAAAATAAATCTATCTTTTGCATAAGAAAACTAGAAGAAACCAGCACAGTTTACAGCACTGGCCACATATACTGAGGCTGGAGGGTTTGAAAACGGCCAGGCCAGCTAAAATGACAACTGCAACCAAAAAAGGAGGGGGGGAGGGCATTGTGGCAGGTGCTTGTAATCCCAGCTACTTGGGAGACTGAGGCAAGAGAATCGCTTAAGCCCAAGAGTTGGAGGTTGTTGTGAGCTGTGATGCCGCCCCACTCTACCTTGAGGGCGACGTAGTGAGCCTCTGTCTCAAAATAAAAAAAAAAAGAAAAGAAAAGAAAACTAGAAGCCCAAAGAGACACAGCTAATATGGAATCAGTTCTCTGTTTCTTTTATTTGGTTGCTTTATCCATAACTATCCTTTTATTATCCATACAAGTAGTAATTTTAAAAGCTGGTAAATATCTCAATGAAAAAATATATTCTCCTACTGAACCTGAGCCATCACTAAAACACCAAATTTCTCCAACCTCTCACCCTTCTCCCAAACCTAAATCCACCAGTCTTCTAACTGGAATAAATAATGATTTATATACTGTAAACTATTGGGCCATATTTTAAATACTTTAGAATGAAGTTCCAATGAATTCAAGCAAGTCTTTGACCATATTTGTCAGGCAGAACTATAGAACACTTTATACAACAGATACTACAGCAAATGAGCAGATGCCTCAAGCGGCTGCAAAAGAGAGGCTGAAGCTTTTGACACTCCAGGGAGATAACCGGAATCTTATTTCTCTCATTGTCCTTATTAACTCACAATCCTCTCTCCTGACTGGAAGTTACTTTCTCTGCAAGCAGCAATATTCAAAGGGTGGTCCAGAGACTCCTAGACCAATTTCAGGGTCTCAAAGACTCCTTTAGGGGCTCAGTGAGGTCAAAACTATGTAGTAATTTATTAATACAAATGTCATTTGGCTTTTTCACTCTCACAGTGGCATTTTCTTT